AGAGAAACGACTGAGCTACCTGACACAATCATTGTGCATCACCCAGGCTGAGAGAATAAGCTGTAAATTATGGACATTTAAGCATTGGATAGAGCGAGGCAAAATGAGTTACACTTCAACCAGGATCCAGCAGAGATTACGGGGCTCAGATTTCCCCCTCCTCATTGCCATGAATGAGTCTGAACTTTGTGCAAATTGAATATTTGCACAAAACGGACTTTTAGTACAGAACACATTTTTATAGTTTAATTGACAAATCCTCCCCTTGCCTAGTCTGTGCCATCAGGCAACTAGAATAGGTTCTCCAGAACACAATGATATTACTTACAGAAAAATAACCATAGTTGACCCATGAACAACACAGGTTTAAACTGGGTGGGTCCACTTAAACACAGATTTTCTTTCAATAAATATATTGGAATTTTTTTGGAGATGTGCAACAATTTGAATAAACATTTTCTTTTCTCTAGCTTAATTTGTTGAAAGAATATAGTATGTAATCTATATAACATACAAAATGTGTTGATCAACTGCTTATATTATTGGTAAGGCTTTCAGTCAACAGTAACGTTTTTGGGGAGTCAAAAGTTATATGTGGATTTTTGACTGCACAGGGGTCCCTGCCCCTAAACCCTGTATTGTTCAAGAGTCAACTGTATTTGTTTATAATTAAATTTGGAGGCAGGACACAGTTATAGTATATACATTTTCATGCCCCATTATATGCATAGAGGATAGTAGATGAAGACTTTAAAGAGAGAAAAGAGAAAAACAGCCAAGATCTCGAAAGTAAACAACTTCATGTTTTAGTTTTGCATGACTCCTCTACTCCCCATTAATGCTCTTTGTCATCATTTCTTCCCCAGAAAGCTTTCCTTTCCAATTCACAACTACCTAGCTTCATTAATTCTTCCACATTTAGTATAGCTATTAGCCTATTGAAGTCTCATTAAGGATTTTATGTAACTTTGTCTAAAGGGAACAGTAGCAGAGCACCATTCAGTTAGTTTGTACTCCAGCCGACAATAGAAGATATAAACGAAACAACCAGAGAACAGTCCAAAGTACTCTGGCTCATTAATGTGTTCACTAGATAAAGAAAGGATTCAGGAGGGGAGGATCTGTTTTGTAATTGAGAAAACTAAAGCTGATTTATCAATTTCAATTGAAAAGTAGGTAAAGAATGTCAGCATTTATTCATGTATTCATGCAAATATAAAAAGGAACCAATCATCACCTCCACTACCACAACCATGTGTTGTATGTGTACAAGGTTAGATCAGAGTTGTAGCTAATAATATTACATTCTGCAGTTGTTCAAGGATGACAGTTGAGAAAGTTTGATGACAAAGGATAAAAATAACACTTGTTTGGGTATAAATGGAAGTTTTTTTCATTGAACTATGTGAATGTTCCTCATCTCACCCACACCCCCAGGAACCTAAGAAAATAATTCCACAATATTAACAAGTGTTCACTATCTCATCAAATTATAATTTTTATTTTTTTCTGAAGTGAAAAATAACTATTGTAAAGAAGAGAATAAATTGAGGTGATGATAAAATGATCAGTAACCACTGGGTCTAGTTCACTTTCCAGTTTCACCACATAGTAAATAATGTGCATAACTTTTGTTCAAGGGGCTTTTCACAGTTGTATAGCAGAGCACTTGACAAGAGTTGGTTAGTAATAACAATTTAAAGGCAGATGCAGAAGCAGAAATGCTTACAGTTTGAATGTGCTTTGTTGACAAAGAGACTATGGCCTATTTACTTTTTTTATTTAAAAGAAATGGGGAATCTTTAGCTACCAGCTTGACAGTCAGTTACAAAAAGCAGAAGGCACCTTAACGTTTCCTCTGGGGGGTATTGCCACTGCAGTCCAGTATCGGCAGTGGTTAGAAACATATGTGCTGTATTATAGTTTCCTTCACACTGCAAGTCAAGAGAATCCTGAGCAAGGTCAGTTTTCCCATCCAGTGTGCACTTGGCTTAGATGTAACAAAAACCAAAACCAAAACCATGTTCACAGAATTTGATATGTGGCTTCATTTATGTTTGAATGAAATTTGTTTATTTCTATGCTGGTGAGTGCAAGAAAACAAGGCCAGGAGAGGCATTTCCTCGAAGGCCAAAGGAGGCATTACTACTACCACCACCACTACTTGCCACGGGATTTGCAAAGTATCTTGAGGCACAAGGTTAGTATGGGAGATGAGCCAGGCTCAGGAGTTAACACAGATAAAAAGTTTAGTGTATTTTTTTCCCCCTTTTAGCCAGCCAATACAACAAAGTACTTCAGATAGTAACTGAATATATTGGTCAGATAATGACATATTTTCTGTAATGATCATGTTTGAGTTTGTGTATTTCCTTTATGCTTGTGATTTTGGAATTGGAATTTAAAATCCTTGGGGGAAAAGCTATTTTTGTAATTCAGCTGGGATGTAGTTGTCTTAGGGTTTCCCATTGCATCAGTCCCTTAGCCTGGTATGATAGCCATAATTGTGCTTTGTCTTTCAGATAAAATGCAGAACTAAGACTATTAGTGTTTATTAAAGATTCCTTGTCATTTTCACAGGAGTGGGTGCGTTAGGCTCTCGTCTCCTGGCCAAATTCTAAATTGGGAGATTACATTCTGCTTTCCTAAATTCCCCTAGCAGAAGCAGCCATCCATGGTATCCTACTTTGCTTCCTTAGCTAAACTGTTGTGTGATTTCATTGAATGGCACCGGCTTTCTACTGTAGAAGTGTTCACTTCTTAGTGGAGCAGTAAATAAATCGGTACCTGTTGTCTGATATTGTATTTGACCCACTTTCAACCACATTAAAAAGTAGGCTCTGATAGTTAAGGGTAAAGTTCAAAACAAAACACCCTAACAATTGTAGTGGGGCATTTTTTCAGAAGACAATCTCCTTTTTCTTCTACAATATAGACAAAAAATTAATGCAATTTTTCCCTCTACTAGTGGTTGACAGTGAATTGTTATTTGCCTTAAACAGGAGGATAGTTCTAGCAGTGATGGTGAGGTTTGAGAGGATGGGATCACATATTACAAACCAGTTAACTCATCTCTTTTTTCTTTACATTGCATCTAACCATTTTAGACAGTTGATCTATCTATTTTATAAAATTTCTTTTTTAGGGAGATTCTCCATCTTTCCTTGGTAACATATGTTAGTGTTTCTCAATCTTTCCATAAAAATCAAGTTTTTATTTTTGTTTAATCTCCATTCCACCTGCTCTAGTTTAATGTCACCATCTTTTATCCAGCACTAACCTTGCTATCACATTGTGGTATTGAGAGGCAGCAGAGCCCAGTAGCATGGTTTTGGGAATCAGAGATGCCTGCATTCAGATCCTGGCCTTGTCACTTTCTAGGTGTGTGATGTTGAGCAAGTTACTTGTCAGGTTCAATTTCCTCAGCTGTAAATGAGCAATCTCAGAAGGTTACTGTGAAGATCAAGTGAGATAATGTATTATTTTAAAGGGTTATGGGGTAAGAGGAGGCATGGTACTTAGCACCCAAAAAGTGCTCACTAAACAGCAGCAATTTTTCTGATTATGTACACAGATCTGACTCAGTTCGTAAACTCTGAGAGTGGGAGGCACACTTCTTGGATTTCAACATATCTACAGTGTTGTGCACATAGTGTTTTGCACACAGTATGGCGTAGAGGCTCAATATTTATTGGATGAATAAACTTTCTTTTTCCTGAATGGAATGAACAGCCCTCAGAGTCGAGTTATCTGCAACGTCCCACACGTTTAGCTCAAAAGTGACAAAATCTATCAATCTCTGATGTCTCCAAATATGCAGATACCTGCCTTTGTTTGGATGTTTTGGTATGGAGTAGACACAAAGCAAAGAACTTACTGTTTCTATCAGGTTCATTTCTATGACTTTTAATATTTGATTATTGTCTTAGGTGCCCAGAATGGGATGACTCAACCATACACCTCCTCATCCATCCAAGCATTCTTTGATTGAGAAATTTTTTAGATGAATACTAAGAACTATCTAATTATATACCTGAACAAAATCTTTCAACTTATGATTAAGTATACTACCTGCCCTATTTACCTGGAAGATCTCTGCTGACTGCAGATGTATTTCTAATTGCTTTGTTCCCAAGCCACACACACACACACACACAAAACCAGAAACAAACAAAACCCAATAACCCACCGCCACAAGTTTCAGAGCACAGTTTACGTCTTTGAATCGTGAGCTGTTAATTAGACTTTATTTTTTGCTTTTAAACATTTTCACGGGGCTAGGAAAGTTGGGGGAACAAAGAGAGGATATATAGATGCAATCGGGCGTGAATATTTGTCAATAACGAAGAGTATTGCTCTTTTACCATAATCTTGGAAAACCCCTGATGCGCGCTTAGCTTGGTATTAAGCCACCGCAGTGTGGCCATTTCCCTGACTGCTTTGTACATACTCTGTAGGGGCGGTCTCAGGTGTGGAGCTCCGAGCACCTGCTTACTCAACTCTGGCAGTTGAGAAACTAGCGTATTTGAGGCCGGTGGCTCAGGTTCCACGTAACTCGGCTCAAGCTTAAGTGTCACTAACACTATGTACAGTGCCGGTCATCGAGCTGTGGTTTGGGACTTGGATTCTTACTTTAGACTTTCTTCCTTTTCTCCCTGGCTCCCCCACTGGTTTCCTTTCCCTCTTTCCTCGCCTGGCGTGCACACCTCCTCCCAAGGCTCTCACTCTCGGCTTTCCAGTTTTCATTTCCTTCCCTTTCCTTTCTACTGGGCTTCCCGTCTTTTATCCTCCGCGGGCCCCAGGGCTGGAGGCTGTCACGCGGAGGAGGCGCGAGGCTGGCGGGACAGGCACGACAGGCGCGAGGTGCCCCGCCGCAAAAGCGCACGGCGCGCGCCGAGGCGGGGGCGCGCGCAGGGCAGCCGCGTGACTGGGCAGCCGGGCTGGGGAGCGGCGCGCGCGTGGCGCGCCCCCGGCGGCCGGGGCCGCAGCGTGCTCGCCCCCGCCGCCAGCTCGCCTCACTTATGGGTCGGAAGCGCTGCGTGGGGGAGACCGGTCCAAGATGGCGGCGGGTTGCTGCGGGGTGAAGAAGCAGAAACTGTCCAGTTCGCCCCCCTCTGGCTCGGGTGGCGGTGGTGGCGCCTCCTCCTCCTCCCACTGTAGCGGAGAGAGCCAGTGCCGAGCTGGGGAGCTCGGACTAGGAGGCGCCGGTACGCGACTCAACGGGCTGGGAGGTCACATCGGAGGAGGTAGCGGCTGTACCCTGCCTGCCCCCCAGGGCTGCAGCGGCGGCGACGGGGGGATTTCCCTGTCACCACCTCCAAGCTGCGGAGTGGGGACCCTACTTTCTACCCCGGCCGCCGCCACCTCTTCCTCGCCCTCCTTGTCGTCTGCCGCCTCGTCCTCATCGCCTGGCTCCCGGAAGATGGTGGTGTCAGCGGAGATGTGCTGCTTTTGCTTCGATGTGCTCTACTGTCACCTGTACGGATACCAGCAGCCCCGGACCCCCCGGTTCACCAACGAGCCCTAGTGAGTACCCTGCCCTCCGCCGCCCTCTCCCTTGCGCTCGGGATGGGACTCAGAGTTGAGGGAAAGTGCGAGTCCGCCTCCCCGCCGGCGGCTGCCTCTGCCCCTCTTGCTGCCACGGTCCCCCGAAGCCACTCGACCCAAGTAAGAGCACCCCGCGCTTTCTGGCCTCCGAGGCAAGCACCCCACTCTTAGAGCAGGGGGCTGCTGCAAGATATGGCTCACTGGCTGCCAGAGGTGTTCGCTTTCTCTTTGCGGTAACTTCGAGGAGTTTTGACCCTGTCCTCCTCTGCTTCGCCACCCCGCCTCCCCACCGCCCCGGTTTTGGAGATCTGGATTGTTCAAGGTGTTGAACTCTCCCCATTTTGGCTACCATTACCCGGTGTGAAAGCCCCGCCAGTATTCCCGCCCCGTGTACCTTGCACGTGGAGAGTTACTGTCCCATTGCAGGGTGAAAAACAGCAACTATCTAACTTCTCTTCTGCTAGCGATGGGACTTACGTCGGGAGTTTATGAGGTTACCCATCTTTTCCTTGAGTTTCCCAGTGTCCTGGGGAAGGAGATTTCTTTTTAAAACATTTTCCCTTACTACCTATTTTTATCCGAACATACCCATTAAAATGTGTTTCTAGTGAAGTGCACCGCCAGCTCTCATTTGAAGAGTGAGTGAGACCTTTTTTTTTTTTCATTCCACCGGCTGGGTAGTAGCTCATTCAGAGAGAGCTGTCCCCATAGAGCCACTGTCAGTTTGTACATTAAGCGTGCATTCGCTGTTCTGTTGATTTCACTTTTAAGAAATCTGTTAGGCTTGACGACTTGAGAAATAGTTAGGCAATCCCAACAGTAAGTGTGTAGGAATTTTTATGGTTTCCTTTGGTTTTGTACTTTTATTTTACCCTTTAAGTGTGTTGTTGAAATTGTTTAAAATAGCACTGTTACAGCTAAAAGCCAGGTTAATTCTAATCCCTGCCCATTTGGATGTGTGGGAGATGGGACATACGTTTTTTTTTTTTAATGTGTAAACTGAGTGTAAACTGACTTTCTGAGTTAAATGCTAGACAGAAGGTAAAGCCCAAGGAAGTGCAGAATGACAAAGAGGGTGATTGTTTTTTTATTATGAGTACTTAGAAGCAAGGAGAAAAACAATAGAGAAAAATTTCAGTGAAACTTACACTGAAAAGCATCAACCCTTTTTCTAGCTAAAACAAGTGCCCCTTGTCCCCATATCATAAATACCTGAATTGATGTTCTTTTTAAACTGCTTCTTTTCATTTTGTGAGATTAGGGGATTAGACTACTGCTGGATAAATATAAACATTTCTGCCTAGACTAAAAATATTAAACTAATATGTAAAGTGGAAGTTGCAATAAAGTGTCCTGGAAATCGTAAATTTGCACGGTTTGTTTTCTTTGGCATTTTAAGTGTATTTAATTTGTATTTAAGTGTATTTAATTTTGTATTTTTGCCACTCTTCTGTGGCCTATCCATTTTCTTTCAGACTTGATTCCTCTTTGGTCAATGGTTCATAAGACAATGGTTCATAAGAAATGCATGAAAGAGCATCCAGACTGACACCTTGTCAGATAAATTAAATATCTTTATAAATTTCATAGTTTTAGTTCCAGGAGCTTAAATCCTAAACCCACACACCTTTACTTAGCCAATTTGCTTTTTTTTTTTTTTCGGTTAAGTAAAATTAATTTTAAAAGACTGTCGTGTAAAAATCTATGAAATATTTATTAGCTTGAATCACTTATTTGTGACTCTTCTGCCTTCTCTCGGATGTCTATGATGTACTAAAGCCAGTCCTGGGAGGATACATAGGTTGGCTGTCCAAAATCACAGGACTGCAAAAATTCACTCCTGTTTAGTTACATGAGTTTGGCAAAGGCTATTTTACTCTTCATGCTTCATTACTCCAAAGCATATGAGAACACACTTTCAGGAGGTGCTATTTTCACACATTTTAAAGTGAGTTTGAGTTAACTGAATGACTATAACATGAATTTTAAAAGGAAAGTGAGCTTGACCATTTCATACAGAAAGTGCTTTTGAAAATGTTATTCAACAGTGGCTGCTTTGCATATGCATTTAGGTATTGCTTCTCTTCTAATACCCCACCCACTGGGTTTCTTTTTCATGGAATTAAAGTAAAGACACACTTTGACCGCTGCGGATATGTTGAAACGTTGGTGGAAGAATAATAACTATTACCATTAATCAGGCCTTGAATGTGGCATGTAGTCTACAAAACAACTAGTTTAGAAGAAAGACTGAACATGGCCAAGGGGAGAATGAAAGTTCACTTAAGTGGAAAGAAGAGTGCATCTTATTGTCATTTATTTCCTGTCATTTGTCAGGTGTACTGTGGAAAATTCAGGAAAATTCTTTACAAGCAGTGTTTGGCTATGGGAGTGAAACAACTGTAATCACTTGACAGCACCGCACATTGCCTTTCTGTTTTCCATATTTAATAACATTGTGTGCTTCCTAGTGTGGCTTTGTGCGGAGGGCCATAAGACATAAATAGATGGCTTTTTTTAAAACTCAGTTATTAGTATTGTGTCATGAGGAGCAGCGTTTCAGGTCCTGTACTCTGTCCACGAGAAGATGTGTTTTCGACCATTTCAGATTCTCATGTGGAAAACACACTGTTTCATCCCTTTCCAGGACCTTTCTGGCCAAACGTAATGGCGCAATCTGCCTTTTATAGGCTTAGAAGTTCTAGATTCATCAGCTACCCTTGCACTCTTAGAGGTTATTAGAAATTTCCAGTGATATTTCCGTTGCAGATTTGGTGAGAGAGGGTGTCAATATATCAGCAGGCTGTAGGAATACAAATTCTTCGCTGTCGCTGTTCCTTGGAGTACCTGCCTCACTGCAGAAATTAGCAGGAGCTAGAGCCTGGGAGGATGGTGGAAACTTGTTTAATGGAACACAGATAACCTTTGTGTTAAAAGTTAGGAATGCATTACTAAATAAATCCTCAGTCTGAATTATACAGGCACATTCGCCCACAGAAATAAGGCTCAAGATACGATAAAAACATGAATTTAGGTGTATTTTACTATTCAAAGTCAGCACTCTTGGATTTATGTGCGGGAACCCAGATAGCATGTTATAGGAAACCATTTGTAGTACAAAGGGCTCCACTGTGCCAGGTGTTGAGCCAGTTAGACTCCAGAGCAGTCGTTCTCAACCTTGGCTGCACATTTGAATCAGTGGGGACTTATTAAAAATATGGATGCCTGGGTCCTAACCCCAGAGATGCTGATTTAATTGGTCTTGGATGGGGCCTGGGCATCAGGATTGTTAAAAGCTCCCCAGGTGATTTTAATGTGCAGCTGAGGCAGCATACCACTGGTTGTATTCAACGAGGCCTTTCTCCTGAGATTCAGATTAATTTGGTCTGGGGTGGTGCCTAGGAACTTGTATTTTATGAGCATCCTGGGTAATTTTGGTAAACAACCGGTTTGGGAAACACTTGCAGTGTGATCTGCAGAAGACATCACCTGGGAACCTGTTTGAAATGTAGGTTCTCAGGCCCCACCTCAGACCTGCTGAATTAGAATCTGCATTTTAACAAGCTCCCCAGGTGATTCTTCTGCACATTAAACTTTGAGGAGGAATGGTACTCTAACTTTAGAGTACATCATAATCTCCTGTAGTGCTTGTTAAAATACAAATTGCTGGGCCTCCTTCCCAGAGGTTCTGATTCAGTCAGTCTGGGGTGGGGCTATGAATTTGCATTTCTAACAAGTGCCCTGGTGATCCTGCTGCTATAGTTCCCAGGACCACACGTTGAGACCCACTGAGTTAGAGTAGTAAGGCCCTGAATAAAGTACTTGGGCGACCGACTGTTAAGGGAATGGCAGTTTTCACTGCCAGTTTCCAGTAGAAAACTTCCCGCTTCCATGTCACTATCTTTTATCATGTGCTTTCTAAGTGCAAAGAGACTGAATGCTGCCAAGATCATAATAAGAGTCCGAGGTTCTTGGGATGGTTTCAGTGTGAGATGGCGGGGAGGGATGACTCTTGGCAACCTGTGGTTTGATTTTAGATTTTTTTTTCAGAAATTGTTAAATGTGAGCGGCATGTTTTAGAAGTTAGAAATAGCACAAATATGATATCTTAAAGTGAGTTATATTGATTTTAACAAGTTAAGCCCCCTTCTGTTCCCATAAAAAATGTTTTGATAATTAGCTCACTAAATAACGTGTTGTGATACAATTTTAAAAGCTTTCACTTACACTTAGGCTTGCTGGATTGCATTTTAAGAATTTCCCTCATTAACAAAGAACTATAAAAGGATCCTGCTAAGGCGCTGGGATTGCTCAGTCTTATATCTCTAATGCTGTGTTGCATGTCACGTCCCATGAACTTTTTATTTTAATCTTCTTAACCATCTTTGAAGTTAATGCAGTACTGCATTTTGTATAGACTGTGGCACACAAAAAATACTTTACTGTTAAACATCAGTAACTGTGGTTTTCCATTGCAGTAACTACAATGTGTTTATTTTTTTTTTTAAATCCACTCTTGGACGTGCAGATTTTGAGAGACTCCGATCAGGTGTTTGACTCTTTCTTGTCACAGTTGTCAAGTTACTGTTTTTCTGCAAGCTTGGGAATAATTGGGTTGTTTTAGGGAGGTGAGGTAAGCTCTTGGTTTCAGCAGAACAATAACAATCCTATTGCATGTTAGTAAAAAAGATGACTTGATATTGCAGCTCAGGTCAAAGTGGTATTATAACAGCATTTTAAACACAAATTTTTATATTTCTATTACATCTTCTCTGATGAAGGCTGACCAGAATACCCAGAAGGTGTATCTGTCTACTGCATGTGATGGTACTAGGCCATTACAGATTTCCTTATCCGCGCTAGCATAATGGTCATAATGTATAGATTTTCTTTAAAAAAAAATTTGTCTGAAAAATTGTTGAGCATTTTTGAAGGTATGATATGGGTGTGTTTCCACAGTGTCAATTTCCACTGGAAGG